GTTTGGGGGTTTCAGGGGTTTAGGGTTTAGGGTTTTGGGGTTTAGGGGTTTAGGGGTTTAGGGTTTAGGGGTTTGGGTTTTTTCGGACGGTAGTTTCGTGTTTGGGGGTCTGGGCCTTGGTTGGAGCAGTCCAGGAACCCGAGATTGCGTGGGCGTCTCATAGGACTTCTGGGGTGCTTGTCAACCCCTAATGGGTAGTTCTCTAAGCTAGGGTCTCTTTTTAGATATACAATACAGTACGGCCCCCTTTCGATAAGCTTAATTTAGAGAACTATCCATCTAGAAAGAACCCTCATAGTACCCTTATAGAAACCCGATAGAAACCCTTATAGATCCCTAAACCCTAAACCCTAAACCCCAAAACCCCTAAACATCCCTTTAAGGACTCCCGTGCTAAGTTTCGCGGCAGGCCTGGGCGTGAATGGCATTGCCATGTCTGCAACCAGACAGCAGCTTCCGGCGGCTTGAGGGAGCGTAGTCCCAGAGAGCCCAATAGGGTTTAGGGTTTAGGGTTTAGGGTTTAAATAGAAAGGGCCTTAATATTATGATTTAAGGTATATATTCCTCAATTCAGGGGTAGTGGGTTCTCTGGGATTCCACTACGGGGGTTCCTTCAAGTGCTCCTTTCAGGGAGCCTTTCTGGCGTCGGTAACCTTTGGGGGTTTTTTCGGCCCCAAAGTTTGGGCAACGGTCTTGGAGTCCTAGAACTTCGGGTTTAGGGCTTAGGGCTGAAATTGCGACCTGCCCAGAGATCCCAAGACCCCCTTAATTACGGAATGTACCTTCAGTTATTTGGGGCCTTAATCTTATGATTCTATTCCTGAAGTGAGGAGTATTGGGTTCTCTGGGTGTGTGCCACAACACTTGGACTGTGAAGAGGGGCTAAACCGTTCAGCAAAAGGCGAAGCCCTAAAACCAAAACCCTACTTTAGAGGCTTAGCAACTCGGTAATACTTACAAGGTTACGAATACGTAACCGAGGTTGCCCCACTCATAGCTCGAATTGTAGTGTACGTGCCCCCCTGATCCTAAATCCTAAACCCTAAACCCTTAAACCCTAAACGCTAAACCCCTCACCCTAAACCCTAAACCACTGAACCCTAAACCCAAAACCCCAGACCCTGAGCCCTAAACCTTAAATCCTAACCACTCCCCTTTCTTTTGTGGTCTTTTGGTGCTTTGCGTATGGATCCGTAGGACAAGAGTTTTGCGGTTTCGATGCTCTCGCAAGGGTTCTGCCTCTAAGAATCCAAGCCTTCCGCCTCCAGGTACCCAGAAAGGGGTTTAGGGATTAGGGTTTAGGGTTTAGGGTTTAGGGATCAGGGAAAGTTTAGGGTTTAGGGTTTAGGGTTTAGGGCTTTTAGGGATTAGGGTTTAGGGTTTAGGTCGGGTTGAGGCCTTGGGGTTCCGGGCGCCCACAGAACAGGACCAGGTCATTGGGGGGGCGAGAGTAATGGGCGGTTAAGGGTTTAGGGTTTAGGGTTTAGGGTTTAGGGTTTAGGGAAAGAAGGATGTACACACAAGCCACCAGCCTTCCTACTTTCAAGCCCTGTGTCGGGGTGTTGCGGTTCACAGAGGGGTTTAGGGTTTTGAGGGCCCTGAACCTTAAGCTGCGTCGAGCGTGTTTTCCTCCCGGTTCGAGCTATTGGCCCGCCTTAAATCCTAAACCCTTACACCCTTAAACCCCAAACCCCTAAACGCTAAAACCCTATATCCTAAACCCCAAAACCCCAAACCCCAAACCCTAAACCCTAAACCCTAAATCCTAAACCCCTAAAGCTCGCGCACCCCACCATGGCGACCTCCAGCTTACCGGACCGAATCACCATCACCGTGAGCACGGCGACCCTTGGCAGAACCTTCCAGCAGTAGTAGTAGTAGTAGTAGTAGTAGTAGTAGTAGTAGTCGTAGTGGTGGTGGTGGTGGTGGTGGTAGTAGTGGTGGTAGTAGTAGTAGTAGTAGTAGGAGGAGCCCCAAGCCCCATAAACCTGAGAAGCCCTGGAAGGATTTTAGGCCCTAAATCCAGGTCTCAGGGTTTGGGGAATCCCAAACCTAGGGTTTAGGATCTAAGCCTTCAGTTCCAGAAACAAAGCACTAAACCCTGGAGTATAGTGGTCGGAAGATTGCCAACATCTTTCGCTAGGGTTCCTCAATATGAGCATAAGCAAAAGGTATTAGACACCGAAACCGTTTTTAAAATCATGCAAACCCTTATACTAATCTCAAACGTAACCCTTGTAGAGCCAGTTAAGGGAACCTGTTCAGGAAACCTATTAGGCTTTTTCCCTTCGTATAGGAATTTCATCGGAAGGTTGAAGTTCTAATCCTAAATCCAGAACCCTATATCCTAAACCCTAAATCCTAAATCCTAAATCCTAGACCCTAAATCCTGGACCCTAAATCCTAAATCCTAGGGCCCAAAGCTGCGCAGAAGAAGGTCGGGTGCGAGCTGCACCATTGAAGCCTTGGCGTCGGGGCGTGTGGACCAACTTCACGGGGCCATCGAGCGGGTCCTGAACATCCCGACCTTCCTGCAGAATCTGACCATTGCTTGTGACTGGGTCCTTGGTAAGGGCACTGATACTGATACTACATGAAACTCATACTAATACTAACTCTCATACTAAAAGTAAGACTGCTGCAAGTAGTAATAGTAATAGTACGGCTATGGGATACTCAGAATCTAAAGGAGACACCGGACAGTAGGATCCTTGCCATAAGGATCCTGACAGGGTATCCCTTGCTCTCTTGAGTATGTTCCGTCGTATTAGAACTCGGAAGGGTTTAGGGCTTAGGGTTTGGGGTTTGGGGTTTCGGGTCTAGGGTTAAGCCCTAAAGTTCACAGAGACTGATGCCCTAAACCCTGAAGAGCCCAGAACCCTCAAGAACCCTGGCAGCCCTTCTTCTACCCCTTCGAGTAACCCTCATACAGTAGTACCCCATTTATAGTCGCCCACAAACCTGAACCCGAAGCCCTGTGGGGTTTAGGGTTTAGGGTTCTACACCCTAAACCCTAAACCCTAAGCACTAAACCCTAAACCCAAAGCCCTAAACCCTCAACCCTAAACCCTAAGCCCTAAACCCTA